ATTGGCATTTATTACAGAGAATATTCAATCTATGACATTAACTTGATTTTAATTTGTCTAAAATTTAAAGTGATTACCTGCAGTATGGGACAGTGTCAGCAGTAGCAACGCTTTCACAGTCATAAACTTGTATATTCCTTGTCGCTCCTCATTAAAACTACCACTTGGTCCATTTCATGCCAAAGAAGAGTCACGTGACACGTTAAAGCCCTATTTCAAACCAGCTTACACAAAGAAAGCGTGGATATGTCAAACTTGCTTCATGGTACAGCTCTCACGTGGTTGATGGAGCAGCACTCAGCTGACCAGTATTTTTTCTGTTTCAGTGTCTGAGCTGAGGGTTGTTCTGCTGGGAGGCAGCTGGTCCGACAGGAGTTCATTAGGAAACATCATACTGGGAGAGACTGCTTTCAGCCAAACATCCAAGTCGTTTCTGAGAAGCAGTGGACCAGTCGAAGACAATAAAGTCGCGGTCATCAACAGCCCAGATCTGCTGTTTCCTACTATAGACAAAGAGACAGAGTTTATACGAGGATGTGAGGAACAGTCTGCTCCTGGACCTCATGTGTTCCTGCTGGTTGTTCAGTCTGAAGACTTCACTGAGGAACACAGCTTGAGGCTACAAAGAGTCCTTGGCAACTACAACGATCGATCATTTGATCATTCACTGCTGCTGATATTAAAACCAAGAGAGGACCGTCCAGGTTTGACGGAGAAACACATGGAAAAGGCTCCCTTGAGAGGCCTGATCAGAAAATGTAGATACAGATACTTGATGGGGAAGAACCTTGAACGTGCAGAGCTGCTGACACGCTTCGGTCAAATTGTAAAAGAAAACAATGGAGAACATGTGAGCTATGAAGCATATAAGGACACAACAAAAACTTTAGAAGGCGGCTATCAAAGCCCACAACACAAGAAAACTCCAAGAAGTTCTATCACAGCTGCTGTTAAAGCTGCTGGTAAGTACAGAAACCCCTCTGACGAGGAAATTAAAAGTCACAGTATACACACAAATCCTCCTTTAATCAAACTGAAACAATAAACTGCAAGTTAATGATGTGGTATTTTACAGGGCTGCATGAACAAATCCCTCCTCAACTGTCTTCGTCTCAGAGTGAGTAGTTTCATCACAAAGTTCATCCTGTGTTCATAGAGATGCTAGCTGTTTTCTATTCTGTACGATTAAACACACAATTCCTCATCATTGAAAAGGAATAAAACTAAAGACAATTTTACAATAAATCAATTAAATCATTTGGATTTATGACCGTTATGTCACTTTTCTTAAATACGATGCCTCTGAAAAGGTGAAATTTCACCCTTTGCCTTTCAACACTAAATCATGGTCAATTTAATTTGGTTTTGTTGGCACGAATTTGAACTTTAATGTTAAAATGAAAACAGTCAATTCTTTGTTCTGATGAGACCAATGTGTTTTTATTTTAAGTCATGTATTCTATCATGTCCCTTAGAAGCACCAAAGCATCAATGAGCTATCAGATGTTTTATAGGACTCTTGTAACTGAGTGATTAATTACAAAGCTTAGTTTAACGTGTTGCCAGGTATGTTAAACCTCACAGCACATTTCTTCCACAACCTCAACATACACCTCACCTCCACGTGCACCACGTCCGACACGCGTGAAAGTGCGAGGGCCCGTTCAACGCTGCTTGTAGCTTTAATTTCACTTTGATTTGTCCATTATTAAAGTGACTTCCTGCATTATGAGAGTGTCAGAACAAAATACATTTCAGTACATCATGTTTGAATATAAGAACTTTAGAGTTTAACAGCTTCAATGTGCAGCTGTCAGTTATCAATAATCAGCTGCATTGACCAGTAAAATAAATATACACTACTCACAATAAGTTAGGGATATTGTTATTTACATGAGTGCTTTTCCTATTTGGTCTGAATTTTAATGAAATAAGTAAAAGTTCCCTTTGATATTACTAATAATGAATGAGAAGAAACACCATTTTCATTAGTTTAATATTTATTACCCCCAAAATTTAAACAATAGCAAGGATAGCCCCAAATAACAAAAACTGACAATGTCAGTAGCGGGTGTTTCCACCATTTGCTGCAATGACAGCTTGACAACGACGTCTCATGCTCCTCACTAGCCTCATGATGTTCTGAGGCAATGCGTTCCACTCTTCCACAAGTGCTACACGCAGTTCTGCCAGGTCACGNTATCAACACAGGAAAGTGTGAAAACTCCAGATATAAATGTAGAAATGTCAAAGGAAGGCTCCAGTCTGCAGAGCTGCATGTGTCTGCATCACCTGCTGATCAGAACATCTACCTTAACCCAGGTATTTAATCAAACATGCCATAAACAGGCCTCCTGTTTCTATGAGACGTGTCATAACTAAATCCAGCAGTGACTGGAGACTCTGCATTCTGTCACAGCAGAAGCTCGTCCAGTTGTTTCCAGCAGAGCCACGTCATGGATGGAACTTGTGGTGAGTTAATCAGACTTCCTATTCCATAGAAGTGCACCAGAGAGCTGCTTAAAAACCGTTTATGTGCACGTCTGTTTTCTTCCAGTCGCGTATGAGGGACAGCCAGTGGACAGCAGCAGCAGCAGCTATGAAACGCTGCCACCTGCCTGTGAGTTCAGCTGAGACAGAGAGTACTTTCAAAACATCTGAATCTACAGATGTTCATCGATGTAAAGGTGTAAAGATGAATCGCTCTCCTTTTTTGTGTTTGGATATTATGTAATGATGAAAAGATGGCGTTACTGAATTGACAAGTTTAGGACCTGCCACCTATAAAGGGTCAATATCCCTGATTGTAGTGAACAGAAAGGTCAAAATCCTGGATAGGAATGTGCCAAAGTGCTTAAAAACCGGAATATCAGCGTAGAAAGGTGTCGCTATCTAAATATTAAAACAAGAAGGTATCAATAACCTCAATATTAAACAAGTTAAGAACCAACAATGTCAATACTAACACATAAAAAATCAATAGCCTGAATAATAACGCAGAAAAGTATGAATAACCTGAAAATGATGTCATTTTACAGTGTTTGAATTATTAATAAAAACTAACGGTGTACGTTTCTGTTTGCTTCCAGTCGAAGAGAATGAGCAGCCTCCCTACGAATCACTGCCACCTCAGCGTACGTGCTTTAAAATCAAACAATTAAACCTGTATTCATCAAAAACCCAGATATGGATACGCAAAACAATCAATAATCTACATTTTGACACAAAAAAGTATATAAAAAAATGCTTATTGAGGTACACAATTGTCAATAATCTGTATAGTAGCGCAGAAAATGATNATTCTAAGTCATGAGTAAAATAGTATTTTTAAACAGATCCCTGGGGTTAGTTGTGCCAAACCTCTAAATCTAACCTAGCAACTTACCAAGTGCTCGATCCATTAAGAGGAAAGCTGCCACTAACAGGCGTGTCTAGTAGAGTGATTTGACTACTGAGGCTACTTAGCTGGGTCAACTATTAGAGGAAGCAGGGTAGACGTCTGGATTAAGGTAGTTAGAAGCTAGGCGAGTTTCCTCAACAGCAGCTTAAGCAATTTTATAGAATCCTATTAGGTCAAGGGCCTGTAGGCAGTTAGAGCTTAACCCTAGTAACGGAGAGCTGGACCAGTAGCCCTGTACAGGGTTATATCGGCGCAGATCAATAGTATATACATATACATAATTTTATCTATCATCTATCCTTTAGGTCTGCCTTTCTTTGAGCTCAGACAGATCTATGGATTTTAATGTCTCCTATAGTCCAAACTGACTGCTGGTTAAGTGATTTATTAGGTTTTAATAACTCTGAATGAGCACTTTCAGTTCATTAACACAATTTTTGGGTAAAAGTAAAAGAAATTAGTGTCCCTCTGAATTAAGAAAAAAACTTCAAATGCAGACTTTTCACGGACAATTTCAATCAAAGTGTTCATTTAGTTTCAGCTTCATGAAACGTATATTTCAGATGATAAGGTCTACATGTAGACGAGTGAGATAAATAGATGGACTTTTTCTTCTGTTCTTTCAGGCTGTTGAAGCCGGCAGTAGGTCTCCAGGATATTTATTCTGATGTGACAGTCACATGATGGAGACTGCAGCACCTGGTGAGTCGTCGTACTGAGTTTTATACCTGCTTGAGTTTTGGTGCTGCTCGTTATTCTGCTGACATCATTTGGACGGGACTGTACAAGCACATAGACTTTATTCATGTAGAGGTCATTTACAGCAGGTGTGTTACAGAAACTGAGTCTAAATAAATTCCCTTTGAAAGCTGGTGCATCTCCTGCATTAAGAAGGATTTCTCCCAGCAGATTTATTGTGTCCTTCAATTGACAACAAGGCTATGACATTTAGGACAAATGTTCATGTTGTTGTGGGGCATTTAATGAGACTAGATGCTTCAAGCAAGAACAGTAATAATTTATAATGAATTAATTTGTATGTTTTCTGCATTGACAGTTACAGATGTGCAGCCACGAAAGCGCAGACACAGCTTTGAATTTCTGCCACCTGACCGTAAGTTTAACTGAGTCTGGACTGTTGAACACAGAAGTGTTTTTTAGTTCAGACAACTTCTAATGAAGTTATAATCAACTTACAAACTACACTGAGT